GTGGTGTGTGGTGTGTGGTGTGTGGTGTGTGCGTGTTGTGTGTGTGTTGTGTGTGTTGTGTGTGTTGTGTGTTGTGTGTGTTGTGTGTATGTTGGGGGGGGGCAAAGCTGTGTATCTGTCGCGGCACCGCTGATCGCTGTCGCACCGTCGGCCTAGCCATCATGTGTAGTTACGCGCTGGGCATATGTCTGGCCCCCCCCCGTCGCCGTCGCACCGCGCGGAGAGTTTCGGAGTCAAGTAAAGGGCCCAATTGTCGCGGCCCCGCAGTCGCTGTCGCACGGTTAACCCACCTGCGTGGCTTGTGCTTCCCATCCGTCTGGCCACCCCCCTGTCGCCGTCGCACCACAAAGATTGCGCGTCACACCAGCGTGAAATGAGCTATCCACGGCGCGCCCATCGCACGTCGCGCAACTCATTTGATTGATTTCTCAAGTGGTCCGTGCGGCGACAGATCGCTCTTGCGCATTTGTCCACGACGAGCACGCTGCCGCCGCACTGGGGAGATCTGGTCTGGGCGGATCCCATCATGATATCAAATTGGATGAGCGGGAGCGGGTGGGCTCCTCCTCCTGCTCCTCCTCGTCCTCATCTTCCTCCTCCTACTTTTCTTCCTCGTCCTCCTCCTCTTCCGCCTCCTCCTCCTCCTCCTCCTCCTCCTCCTCCTCCTCCTCCGCCTCCTCCTCCCCTCCGTCGCCGTTTTGGCACAGGCCACCAAAGCTATGACCCACGATCTGCTCCCTGGCCACCCGAGCTGGAAGCCCCGCCGGGCCCCCGCGGCGCCAGGCTCGGCTGCGCCGGCCTCCCCTCGTAAACGCAGTGCAGCGGAGGTGCCTCCTGCTCGGCGGCTGCCCCGCGGCGGCCGAGGCCAGCCCGCTGGGGGCGCCGTGCGTCGGCAGCGGGTCCACGCGCCCGGGCCTCGAGCTTTCGGCGGGCTTTCTGCGGAGCTCGGGGCAGGCGCAGGCTCGGAGGAGTCCCGCGGGGAAAGAGGAGGAGGAGGAGGAGGAGGAGGAGGACCAGTGGGAACCCAAGACTCATCAGCGATGTTTGGACAAGCCCTCCATCCAAGTTCCTTCCTCACAGGCCCCTGCAAGGATTCGTATCCACTGCGGGAAGTGCCCCGTCAAGACAGCCGATTGAAGATCCGGGAACGTGCCAAAACATCATGCTCGGGATTTCAACGCCACGAACCAACCTTGCTGTTGCGTTTTAACGATCCTGAATCGTGCCAGAGCACTGTTCCTGGGACTTCACCACCGCGAATCAAGGTAACTGCTGCGCCCTGACAATCCAGCATCCTTCCAAGACGCCGTTTCTTGCACGCTAACCATGGGAATCCGTGAAACTCTTACATTTTGTCCCAACCATCTTTTGGTGTCGGGTCCTCCTTGTGAAGACACAGCGCCCCGCGTTTTCCTTCTTCTCCCGCTGCCCCATCCCTCCTCCCTCCTCCCATCCTGCTTCTGCCTTCAGCATCACCATAACATCTTAAGCATCGACGTCATCATCACCATCATCGTCATCATGATCGCTGGTACACCCTGACACGATTCGCGGCCCCATACGGAGCTCCACCGAAGGCCCCAATGGCGCAGCCCGCATGCGCCTCAGCCCCAACGAAGGCCTCAGTCGCAGCGCCCGCATGCGGTTCCACCCCAATTTCGGCGAACACCTCGCACGTTCCGTGGCCGCATAGGGAACTTCACCGAAGACCCCAGTGCCAGCGACCGCGGGCGGTTCCACCTACCTTGTCGGTGCACTCCTCGCACGTTTCGTGGCCCCATCGGGAGCTCCACCGAACGCCGCAGTGGCTGCGCTCGCATGCGGTTCCACCCCTCATTTCGGCACACCCCTCACACGCTTCGTGGCTCCATAGGGAGCTCCACCGAAGGCCCCAGTGGCTGCGCTGGCATGCGGTTCCACACCCCATTCTGGCACACCCCTCGCACGTTTCGTGGCCTCATAAGGGGGTTCCACCAAAGGTCACAGTGGCACTGCCCGCTTGCGTCCGCCACCACCCAGCACAGGCCTTGTTTCCTGCGATTCACCCACCCAGAACAGCGCTTCGTAGCCCTATAGGGAGCTCCACCAAAGGTCCCAGCGGCACCGCCCGCATGCGTCCGCCACCACCCTGCGCAGCCCTTGCTCCCTGCCTGCGTTTCACCCACCCAGTACAGCGCTTCGTGGCCCCATAGGGAGCTCCACCGAAGGTCCCAGTGGCACCGCTCGCATGCGTCCGCCACCACGCAGCACAGCCCATGCTGACCGCGTCTCACCCACCCAGTACAGCGTTTCGTGGCCCCATAGGGAGCTCCACCGAAGGTCCCAGTGGCACCGCCCGCATGCGTCCGCCACCACCCAACACAATTGCGGCATTCACAACTGCATATGGTTGGGTCCTTCGCCAGGCTAATTTTCGATGCGCTCCTCGCACGCTTCGTGGCCCCATGGGGAGCTCCCATTGAGGCCCCAGTGACAGCGCCCGCATGAGATTCGACCCTTCATGTCAGCACACCCCTCACACGCGTCGTGGCCCCATACGGAGCTCCACCGAAGGCCCCAATGGCAGCGCCCGCATGCAGTTCCACATCAATTTCGACACGCCCCGTGGCCCCATATGGAGCTCCACCGAAGGCCCCAAGGGCAGCGCCCGCATGCGGTTCCAGCCTCCATCTTGGCACACAACTCACACGCTTCGTAACCCCATAGGGAGCTCCACCAACGGTCCCAGTGGCAACGCCCGCATGTGGTTCCACCCATATTTCGGTGCACCCCTCACACGTTTCGTTGCCCCATAGGGAGCTCCACCGAAGGCCCCAGTGGCAGCGCCTGTATGCGGTTCCACCCTCCATCTTGGCACACCGCTCACACGTGTCGTGGCCCCATGGGGAGCTCCACCGAAAGCCCCATTGGCAGCGCTCGCATGCGATTCCCCCCCTGTTCGGCGAACCTCTCACACGTTCCGTGGCCCCATAGGGAGTTCCACCGAAGGTCCTCGTGTTCCCTGTTGCTGGCCCCCTCCTTCATACCATTTCCATCGCGATGCTCAAAGGCCCCAGTGACAGCACACGCATAACAGCCCCGCCACATTCCGGCATAACCTGCACTTGCTTCGAGACCCCATAAGGAGACCCACCAAAGGCGATATTCACAAAGACGGTACTCACAATTGCATATGGTTGGATCCGTCGCCAGGCTAGTTTTAACGCATGTGCGCGGCGCTAGGGCGAGAGCCACATGTTAAAAAGGAACCGCCCTCTATCCGTGAAATTGCTGCAAAAGTGTAAGACGGATGTGCGCGGCGCTAAGACGGGAGCCACATGTTGAAAACGACCCGTTCCCCATCTGTTATACTTCTGCAGTTGTGCAACTGTTTAAGACGAATGTGCGCGGCGCTAGGGCGAGAACCACAGTTTGAAAAGGAAACGCCATACAAACGTTAAACGTGTGCACAGTCTTACGTCGAATGTGCGCGGCGCTAAGGCGAGAGCCACATTTTGAAAACCTCCCGCCCCAAATCCGCGAAACCCTTGCAAATTGTCAAGACAAGTGTGCGTGGCGCTGATTCGAGAGCCACATGTTGAAATCATCCGCCCTCCATGTGTGAAACTGTTACCAAAACATGAGCTTCAGAATCATAAGTGGTAAAGATGTCTCAGGCCAAACGCTCGGCCCGCCCTTCCGACGGGCCTCGGTGTGCGACAGGGAAGAAATTGCTTCTAAGCAAGAGGAAGGAGGGGGGAAGGATGAAGGGCTGGGGCGCGCCATCGCCGGCGACGTCCTGCCGGAGAACACCATAGTCCTGGCGCAGCAAAAGGCGAGGCTCGTCGTCGATGAGCGCTGTGGGGCCCGCGCCCCCGCGGGCGCGCTCGTCGCCGCCAGGGCAGAGCTGCAGGAGCCCCCAGCCGAGCAGCTGGGCATCGGCGGGCGTCGGCGCCTTCGGCGCCGAGGGGAGCGCGACGAGGCCAGGGGCCTCATCGCCGCGGGTCTCCGCCGCGACCAGGTGGGAAGAAGTCCGGGCGGCTCAGAAGGAGGCCAAGGAGGCTGCGGAGGGGGCCCGCCCTTCTGGAGGCCAGCTCGTTGAAGCATCTGATGAGCTGGGAGTCGGTGCTCACCTCGAACATCGCCACTGGGGAGGACGAGCACGCACAGCCCAGCATCGCGCACTGTCGCTACAGTGAGCGGATGTGGCATTCGTGGCAGGAGTGCGTGGAACGGTGCGTGGAGGACGGGATGGCGAGGCGCATGCTGCTCGTCGGCCTGCCCGAGGGCGAGCGTCGCGCCGTCGGGCTGGACGCCCCGCCGCTGGCAGGCATAGGGGAGCTCAAGAGGAACGCGGCGCCTAGACGCGCGAGAAGGGAGCACCTCTGATCGTAGGAGGGGAGGGCGAGAGGGAAGGCCTCTGGCCAGCCGGTAGGCCAGGGTCAGCCTGCGCGCGAGAAGCGAAGCCATTTATTGGATGGCCCGGCGCGGAGCAGTCGCCAAGCGCCGCGAGGTTCTACCGCCCCTCCACTTCTCCACTCCTCCTCCTCCGCGTCCTCCTCCTCCTCCTCCTCCTCCTCCTCCTCCTCCTCCTCATCCTGCGGATCTCCATACTTCTCGTGTATCCTCCCTCCCCCCCCGCATTCATCATGCCCCCCCACACCACTCTTGAAAGCCGCGGGAAGGCCTTCAATTGCACCAGCGGTGCGCACCTGTGGGAGAAGGGCTGGTCCGATGCCAAGAAGGCGGGTCAATGGGAGGGAAGGGGGGAGCGCAGGAGGGGAGGGGAGGAGCACAAGGAGGCGGAAGGCGAGGAAATGGGGGAAGAGGAGGAGGAGGAGGAGGAGGAGGAGGAGGAGGAGGAGGAGGAGGAGGAGGAGGAGTGGGAGGAGGAGGAGGAGGGGGAGGAGGAGGAGGAGGAGGAGGAGGAGGAGGAGGAGGAGGAGGAGGAGGAAAAGAAGGAGGAGGACGAGGCGGCGGGAGCCTCGGGCCCAGGGTCCCGTGGCAGCGTAGCAGCCCCAGGGGGCAAGCCACGACCGAAATCTCCCCTATCTATCCGCCGCATCCCCACATCCTTACACCCACAGCATCTGAACTCTCATCCAGTATACTTATTACATGTTGTTTATGGTTTCTCCCTCTTATCAAGCGTTACGCCAGCAAGGGTTCACGACATCGGCATCGGCATTAGACGCCCCAGCATACGAGTACGAACGGGCAGCATTCCACATCGACGTCGACATCCAAACCGACCACAACCACCGCGACTCCGGCCACAGCTACCAAGCGGGGCACAGAAGGGAAAGAGAGAAAAGAGCAGTTGCGCGCACGCTACTACGTATTGCATCAGCAAGATCTCTATTGGATCCACGGACTCAGCAGCAAGTAAAAGAAGCACAATCCTTTCTTAACCAACACCATAGTGCACAACAACCACCACGCAACACGACGGAAAGCGTGTACAACCAAATCAACGACACATACGGACAAATACCAGCACCCCAAGCCAAAGCTAAAGGCAAAGGGAAACACCACCACTAACAGCCACACGGCAAAGGCCGAAACACAACATGGCAGCATGAATGGCCACCACGGTCACAAGGCACCCAACACCCAGACGCCCAACTGCAACCCAATGCACACCACACGGCAGCACAACAAAGGCAACGATTTCAGCCCACACACAGACGACCAGCATCAGTACAACCACAGCCAAAGAAGGACCACCACACCAAGACCCAGCACTCATCAGCGACAAACCCAAGCAAGCAATCGACATGACAACCAACAACCACAACCCAACTTCGGCAGCAACGCTGACGACACAGCATACATCGACCATGAAGCCAAGGAGATCACCGACAGCATACTAGAGGCATTCTACGACGACGTTCAGAACAAAGACCACCCAGGCATTACACCACTGGAAGTTGGAGCATGGATTACATCAAAGACAGCCAACATCAGGAAGCTAGCATCATAAATACTAGCGGTCGAAAAGGCCAGCCAACAAGCAGAACACTTACGACACGAACCGGCAGTTACGAAAAGACAGTTATTCGAACAGAAACCGTTGCATGAACAGCTACAACACATACGCCAATTCAAAGACGACTACGTAGCATGCACCAAGATCTCCGAGGCCACGGTCAAGCAGGCACAACGACGACCCGACGACAACATACGACTCACCAAGACCTACGCCAACATCGAGGAGGAGATCATCCAGCAACGGCAGCACACACCGAGTTCACAGCCGACACACAACACACCACCAAGAGCCCAAGATATCCAACTCAATCAAGGCTCACATCACAAAGCCCCACCACGACCAGTCAAGCCCGAGTCACCGAGCCCACGCACAAAAGAAGACGTCATTCGACTAGAGACACGATTCAAAAAGGCACTCGACGACCTACAAGCCAGCGATACAATGATACAACACCTATGATTGGCCCAGTAGACCAGCACCGACGACAAGCAAGCACAACACCGACCCAAGAGCGCAGAAGACACCATGCAGCAACTACAACAGCCAGAGACTACCTTTCAACCGACTGCCACAACACAAGGGAGCAACTACTAGCAGCACAAAACCTCGAATAGCAAGCCATTCGCACAGAACAGCTTGCGATACAACACGCCGCCAACGAAGAGGAGCACGCACAGCTCACAGCAGCCCAAACGGCATAAAGAAACCAACAAATGGAAGGAGCCACAACACAAGTGCTACACTACCACACCGAATTGCAGCAAGCCAGGCAAGAGCATGCCAAGGCATTGGTCGACCAAGGCACAGCACACAAACTGCACGAACAGAGTGAAAAATCATACATGACGACGATCGCCGAGCTACGACTGGAACTACTGGCAAAACGCCAGCAACGCACAGCCCAACCACCACACGAAGCATACCAGCACCAGCAAGACATCGACCAAGCAAAGAGAACAACATGACAACACATGCAACACATCATACAACAACCCCGCAACCACTACCAAGAACAACAAGCAGCACTAGAGCAAAGACATTCACCATACACCAGCATGGCCGAGCAGAGCATTCAATTGCTAGAACAGGGCCTGCAACAAGAGGCGGCCACACTACGCTGGCAAGAGCAGCACCTAAGAAGACATCAAGAACAACATGCAGAACAAGGAGTCCAAAGAGCACGCGCCCAAGCAAGATTCGACCAAGAAGCGATAGCAGCACGAGAAGCAGTCACGACAGCGCAAAGACTACAACACAGAGAGTCCACAATTTTAGCAAATTTCCGAGAAGAGACAGCACCCAAGATCATCTTCGGCAACGCAGAATCAAATCTACAGGCCGCCAACCGACACGACCAACGACAATTGACCACGGCAGAGCAGGCCCAACAAGACACGACAAGCCAGACTACACAACAACAGCTCACGCTGGAGAAATACGAGGGCGCACAATCACAATCTGAGCGATGGCAGAAACAAAAGGAAGCAGAGCTACAAGAACGACTACGACAAGCACAGCCACAACAACAACTACCAGCACTGCCTGGCGACCGAGACCTGGACGAAGACGAAATAATTAACCGGCAGTTCGACCTAGAACACAGCATCATCGACCAGGAGCACCAGCACACGCAACGAACAATCACAGATTGCGTGACCGACCAGGTGCACGGCGACGGGGAGACATGGGCAGATTGCGTGACCGACCAGGTGCACGGCTTTCAAGTTGGAGCACCAGCACGGGCCAGCACGATATCATGAGCCGCAGGACTAGAGAGCGCGAGGCAAGGCCAACTCAAACGCCTGCGATCGAAGCGGTCGCTGGAAATCAGCCACAGGTCCCTTGGCGGGGAGCACGGTGGTATTGTAGCACGTTGGAAGGCGAGCAGGCGAGCCCGACGAGTGGATATTTTCATAATGCGCTACATAGGAACTGACTCATGATGAGATCCCCTTGGTTATGGATGAGCCTTTAGAAACATCAATTCTTATGCCCCAAAGTTCTTGCAACGCCTGGCAAAGGGTCACTAGCGCGGCCGAGGCATTGGACAAGGCGTCGATACTGCCTGCCGCAGACGCACACTACAGAGACTGTCCAGATCGGGTCGTCCCACGAGGCTGGGGCATCTGATGTTGCAGCGGGCGGCACGCCCTGGACGGGTGATTGGTGGAGGCCCTTGGGCCACGTCGCCGACATCATCTGCATCCGCTGCGACCAGTCAGTGGAGACCATGCGCCGCCGCTTGGCACCAACGACTTGTTCAGATCGACACCCGTGGAGCTGGAGGAAGATCCTGCCACATCTTGTCTGTAAGGGTCCTGCGCAATTCTCTTGATCGCCGGATCTGGGACGGGTTGTTAGTATCGTTCATGTTAGTTTTTTTGGTGCTACTCGCATTCGTATTCATACGAGTCATTAGTGCGTGGACTCCCGCCTTCTCGTGATAGTCCTAGGGTTCGTATCAGTACTTCGGCGTATTACAATTGCTAGTAGTCGGTGGTTAGTACTGGTAGGTAATAGCTAGTGGCTAGAACTTGATAGTCGCATTTAGTAGCTTGTAGCTAATACTGGCAGTAGTAGTAGCAGTAGTAGTAGTAGTAGTAGAAGTAGGATCAGCCATCGTAGAAGTAGTAGTAGCGGCCGTAGTCGTAGTCGTAGTGGTGGTGGTAGTGGTAGTGGTAGCAGTAGTAGTAGTAGTAGTAGTAGTAGTAGTAGTAGTAGTAGTAGTAGTAGTAGTAGTAGTAGTAGTAGTAGTAGTAGTAGTAGTAGTAGTAGTAGTAGTAGTAGTAGTAGTAGTAGTAGTAGTAGTAGTAGTAGTAGTAGTAGTAGTAGTAGTAGTAGTAGTAGTAGTCGTAGTAGTAGTAGTAGTAGTAGTAGTGGTAGTAGTAGTAGTAGTAGTAGTAGTAGTAGTAGTAGTAGTAGTAGTAGTAGTAGTAGTAGTAGTAGTAGTAGTAGTAGTAGTAGTAGTAGTAGTAGTAGTAGTAGTAGTAGTAGTAGTAGTAGTAGTAGTAGTAGTAGTAGTAGTAGTAGTAAGCTGTAGCAGTGGCTGTGGTAGTAGGAGTAGAAATATTAGTTTTAGTAATAGGTGTAGTCGTACTGCTAGTACCACCTGTCGTCGTAGCAGCAGTAGCAGTCGCAGTAGCAATAGCAGCAGCAGTAACAGCATCAGCAATTTTGTTACAGTAGTCCTATTAGTGAAAGAGTCGGAGCAGTAGCATGTCTAATAATAGCCGCTCTTGAAGCAGTAGTAGTAGTAGTAGTAGTAGTAGTAGTAGCAGTAGTAGTAGTAGTAGTCGTCGCCGTCGTCGAA